CAGGTGTATATCGATTTGGGTAACCTACAGGGAATTTTGAACTAAACCCTTTATTTAATCTACGGTGCTAGACTGTTCTCGTTCCACTGCTTATGTTTAGGGATATCGTTTAATTCTTATTTTTATTTAGTACTATTCAGTTACTGCTCGTCCGTTTCTACTCAATGCAGATACACACTGTCTGACTATGCCACCAAATCCACAAACAGACGTTTTTATCCATTAGGCCATTGTCTCGTAGGATAATTTGCTGTAGTGAACTCAGAGACATAAACTAAACCAGGCTGCTGCTGGTGCAGCAGCTCTCTATCATGTTTTGAGTGCTGCCGCTGCCCATGTTTTGAGTGCTGTTGCTGCTGCGTTTGAAGACTTGCTGTCATTTGTTTTACTTAATTAGCGGCTCCCATATTGTATTTATTTCTAAGCTAGGACTGTTAAGGAGATCCTCATAGCCTACCATATGCTCTGGTTCTTTCAGACGTCTAGTTCTCCAGTGTTCTACTTTGTCCAGTATTTTCACTTCATTCCATAGGGACTGATGACTTAGAGGTCATAAAATTAACCAGGCTGCTGATTAGGTTGCAACTGCTGTTGCTGGTGCTGTACCTGTCTGTCATGTTTTGAGTGCTGCATCTGAAGACTTGCTGTCATTTGTCTTACTTAAAAAAAGTAAACTTTTCCTGCATTTGATCCAAGTAATATTGTATAATGTGAATAATAATAATTATTACAATAACTTGTATTGCAAATATAAATTAAAATATGTGTAATTAATAATAAAATTGATAATATCTCATTATTTTGTATCATGAACTGATTTTAAAAGTAACGCAACGGGTTTTTGGGTGCTTTATGTTTAGAATATTAAAAAAATAAAACTTGGGGGGGGGATTTTTTTCAGCAGCACATGCATAAACTTTAGTGGATAATTATTATTTCTGTGAAATGAAGAATAAACTAATATATATATATTTATTAATATATGTAAATTTTTGTTTATTAATTAAAAATGTATATATTCTTTTGTTCTTTATTTAAGAGATTTTTCTAGTCTGTTTTCGTTCGTATGTCCGATAACTCTGTAAAAAGTCAGGGATCGATTTTACATTGAATCGATACTATGAATGCTTTTTAAAATGATAAAAAATTATTATTTTTTATTCTAATAAGTGTTGCAGCCTAAAGAAGATCTAAGAGAGATCTACAAGACTGCTAATCTAGAAAAATTATTTAGCAAAAATTCTTTCTGCATATTTTACGAGTGGACACGTCTATTTAAGTAGTGTCTGCAAGTCATTTGGTATTTATTGAAAAACCGAAGACAACAACACGACCAAGTTTTTCCCTGAAATAATCACATTTTATCCAAAATAAATCTTGGAAAAACATTTTAATTCGAGTTCTAACTTAATTAAACTTTTCACACAGTTGCTAGGGCTTTGATTATTGACAGGTCCTAACGATTTTTTTTTATGTTGTATGACAAATAACGGAATTTTATTTTGATGTAACTCGATTAAACCCTCGGATTTTATTAACATGGATCCATTATCATACAATCATCATCACTGTCGGCACTGGGTGCAGTCTGGTGGTAGGGGGTCACTGCGCATTTGAGCACTTGACGGGCTCCCTTCACACGTCATGGTAGGTATCAATTCGTGCTTAGCAGGTCTTGGGTAAAGTAAACCTGGCGGATTCCATCCACCTCCAGGTCAGACCACAGCCGATATCCTAATATTTGAAGGTTCGCCTAGGTCACGAACACGTGGCCGTTGTTTCCATTGGAGAACCATCCGTCCTGGCCGTTTGTGAAGCCCAATGCCCATAGATGCCGTTTCATCCCCGCCCTGGATATACGGCCAGTAATTCAGTCTCATAGATTTAATTTGCAGCCGATCGAAATTCACTGTAGTTAATATCTCAAGTCTGAACTTCTCACTGATGAGAACCTTGGAACATGGAGTTGGCCGCATAGTTCGGTGCCAGTGGCGATGAACTAAGGGATTTACAATTATTATTATTATTATTATTATTATTTATTTATTTATTTATTTGCATTTCTGTTGTATACACATTTCCTTCTGGGTCCCAACCAGAGACCTAAGGTCAGAAATGATATTTCCACTGACCCCCCCCACAAAAAAACAACCAAAATTACACACATTTTACAGAATATTCGAAGACAGTACCCGTAAAAAATACGTATGAAATAATACTTCCCTCTCGCGTCAGAGAAACACTTTCTGACACTTCTGCTAAGGATGAGTGTTGTATCTGTGTCTTGTCTTGTCTTGTAATGGCATTCGCCCGGGGTGGGTTGAGCCGGCTCCAATTGAATTAACTGCATCGCGCGTCAAGGCCATCCACCCTCGTCGATCGGCAGCAGAATCGACGGCATGATCGAGCCATTCGCGATTCCAGCGTCGGACCCCGAAAACGCGAGGACTGGACATGAGTTCCATATCTGCTTTGACCATTGCGGGCCACGTCTTGAGTTGACCACATTGGCGCTTCCTCCAACCAGTGGGTGCATTTGGCGCCACCAGTTTACGGACGAAAGCATCACCGTGGCCGAACCACCGGAGTCTCCTGTTAAGCAGGGTTTCTTCCAGGCCCAGAATGTTGCATCTGGCGCGGATGGACGAGTTGGGGATCCGGTCGGAGAGGCGCACGCGCAGGATACGGCGGAGGCAGTAGTGATCGAAGACCTCAAGCTTATGAAGATCCTCTCTGGCCAGGTCTCACAACCATAGAGAAGAATTGTTCTGACCATGGCTTGTATCTGTGCACACACATATATGCATACACATATAGACATTAAGGGCTTAACTGCTCATTTCCACACGAGAACAGAACTGGAAAAAGAAAGAGAGGGAAGAACGTGGGAAAAGAAAGCATGAAGGAGGCAAGTTAGTGGCTAAGTAAGGAAGCTAGAAGAAAATGAAAAGAAAAGTGGATAAAAGTAGAATAAAATATAGGACGTAAGACAAGTTATATGATTGTTTTGAATTTTATTATTTCTTTAACCTTTTGATCTTTTAAAATGAGTGAAGTTTTATTTAATACTAGCAATAGAGCCCGGCGTTGTCCGGGGTTGTAACAGTAAGAGATAGATCAAGTATCGACCATCATAAAGACTGAAAAATAAAATTGACAAAGATTATTGTTTAAGGTTGATAGACACGCATGTCTTAATTATTTTTTTTTTTTTTTTTTTACGAATTGGTCAAACCCAAACTCAAACAAAAACATTGTTTTCAATCGTTATGAGTCTACCGATTGAATAGAATTTTATTATAAACAATTGTCTTGTAAATGGAATTTTTAAAGCATTCTGAATGTAAAAATAAAAGAAAAAAAAGTGTGCAAGACAATAAGAAACACTACCTGCCAAAAAAAAGTGAAGTTTTTTTTGTAATCGGTTGAAAAATGTAGGAAATCCGATCCCATATATAAACACACACACACACACACACACACACACACACACACACACACACACACACACACACAACCTGGGTTTTATAACACACAAAGTTAATTTTACGTAGTCCATTTGGGTTTATAAAAATGTAAAAATGGATCCAATATATAAACGAACACACACACACACACACACACACACACACACAAAAAAGCTGGGTTTATAATAAGTATGATGTCTTTCTTTTTGGAACGTAACCACCTTATGCACGAGGATAGGTAAGCAGTTACTATAGTATTAAGATACAAACGCCTAATCTAAGATATTTGATCCATTCATCATTATCACCTGTCTCGTGACCGTGTATTGTCGTAATGTCATTGTGCAACTAAGCACCTGACTAGTTCCCTCCAAAACATATGGGATGAAAGCCGAACTGTTCATTCATGTGTAGCGTGTCTTGAGCATTTAATTCTGGCGGAGCCATTTCTCACCATGTCAAACAACAGCCGACGTCCACCGACTTGAATGCTCACCTTGATCAGGGACAAGTGGTGGTTGATTCTATCTGGGAAACTCACCACCTTGGTCGTTGTCTTCAAACAGGAAAAGCCTGCGCCCAACGAAGTAGTGTTATCGCCGCACTGGCTGGAGACATAGCTGTAGAACCTATTGTGTTAGATGACTGTTGACCAAAGATTCATCTGCCTTTTGACAGGTCTTGTTTTTAATCGTGCTAGCTGTCTAGCCACCCTCTACAACCAAAAAGGAAGCCAAGTGAGGGAATCGGTTTAGTCGATGATGATCTGACCAAGTAAGAGTTAGTACTACATTACATTGTGTCAGTAGCACTCGTAGAGTGACTTAAAATAAAAAAAATATTTAAAAAACTACTATTAAAGTATATATAAAAATAGTGACAATCAATAAAGCTATTTTACGGGATCATTAACAGCAATATGGACGCTTTCCGACTATTAAAATACGGAGTTACGAGTTTTTGTAGAGACTGGGAATTAAGGGTGCATTCATATATTGTTTTATTCCATAACTGCAATTTGTATACATTTACAGAAGCGTATTGTATATCAATTCGTAGAGATTTTCGTGTGAACTAATTTTTTTCTTTTGTTGCTGCCTTTACTCTGTTTAACATCAGTGCATTGAGCGAAATAAGCGATATCTAAGAGTTGATTGTAAATCCCCCACTTCTTACTCTCAAGGAAGATTTAATAGCGTGTTTGATCTATCGATCTGTCGCATATTTATTTTCACACGCTGTACTAGGAATGGTGGGGATTCGAGCAGATGCCAATTTCAGAATCAGAACTGCAAGTAATTCGAACAGAAGCGACTTGAAAATTAACAAATGCTCGTAAATTTGCCTCTATAATATTAATGCGTTGTCATTTGCCAGAATTAACAGATTAGTTGAAAAGATGAATGACGTCACACAGAGTAACCTTGATCTTTGCGTCTGAATAGCAGAAAGAACCGGATTTTAGATTTGGTAGGTTAGGGTGACGATGAGTGGAAGAGTATGAATGAGTATTTTTCAGAAAAAGAAGGGATTTCAGAAAATGAAAAGGAGAAGAAGAAAAAAGAAAAATAGACGAAGACAAAGAAATAAAACAAGAAATGATGGAACGAAAAAGGGAAAATGGACATCGAATAGAGAGAGTGGATAAAGTAGAAATAATGAAAGAGGGAAAACGGGAGGAAGTCTATGTGTGTGTATGAGAGAGAGAGAGAGAGAGAGAGAGAGAAGAAAGAGAGAGATCTCAAAAGAAAATAAGAAAAAGAGAACAGAAAAAACGGAGAAAAGAAACGAAAACTCAGAGAAAAGAGAGAGAGAGAGAGAGAGAGAGAGAGAGAGAGAGAGAGAGAGAGGACTATAGTAAAGGAGTACGAAAAGTGTGAAAAGAAAGAAGGGAGAATTAGAGAATCTCAAGAGGGAAGGAGAGAGAATAATTTTAGTAAAAAATGTTAAGAGAAAGAAAGGGAATATTGGACAACTGGGAAAAAAAGGGAGAAAGAGAGACGGAAACTAGAAAGTGGGGGCGTAGAACAAAAAGCAAATAATCTGAAAGGCCGCGATGAAACTTAATGACTCTGATTTACAACCCAATTATTTTCGGAAATAATTTTACAACTTTTATTGTTTGAATAAAATTAGGCGAAATTGGCAAGGGTGCAACAGCAAAGATTGTGGATATTGCAAATATTCGTTGTCATCATCATCATCATCATCATCGTCGTTGTTGTCCTCATTTTCATCATTGTCAACATCATTGTCAACATCAATAGTCCTATTGAACGGACCATCACATACCTTTATCTCCAATCTTTACGATTATCAATCGCACCTGGTCGGTCTTCACGTTGGCAGCCTATATCGTCACATATTTGCTGGATGCTTGCTTCTGAATGAGTGACCAGTGCCCGGGTGTCCGTGTTTTAGTGTCCACTTATTTCTCTAGAGAGGCACCGTAAATCTGCTTCTCCCTCTTGTTAAATGGCAGGTAGATGGCCATAGGGCTGGTTTTTAGGAGGGTACTGTTTACAGGATTGATTCAACTTCCTTGTATATAATGTGCACAAATGTAACTAACATATGTTGATTTGGTTTAAACTGATAAAGATTTTCAACTCGTTTTTTCAGTGTCAATGAAACTTCAACATCTTTTTCAGAGTCAATGAAATTTCGACATTTATTAGTAAAAATCCATAAACTAGTCATTTCGACTTTAATGGTTAAAGAGCTACTTTGATTGGTTATTACAACTATGTATGAATTTCCATCCTCACCGGGTGTCCCCTACTTGTATCTTTGTGCCCACGACATGATTAACCTAGTAAATAACAAATCTATAATCTAACATATATATTGACCCATCCACAATACTCGTAGTTCTGGGAATGACGATGAACTACACTCAATAGCATGGACTCTGATCGAGAGATTGGAGGTTTTAAGGAGTGAGGAAAAACCTCTTAACTGCTGTTGTTCCCAGGTCCACCCTGACCCTGGGTGGTAGCACCTGTTAGGGTCCCAGCTATTGGCAAACAGTGAACCTCTAAACACTATAAAAATACATTTTTATAGTAAAAATACCAGCAATACATTATTATATAAAAAATTAAATAAAAAAATTACCAACGAGACATGTTTATAGTAAAATTACCAACAATACACTTTATAGCAAAATAATCAACAATACATTTTATCTGTAATTGAAGCCATAAAACTGTGTTCCAAATATTTAGATTCCAGCATTAAATAACCCATAGAAGTTGATATTCCGCTAAACAAATTCAAAAATCAAACAAGACTCGTGTGTGTGTGTGTGAACGCGCATGCGCGCTTGTTTAAGTAACCAATTCATACTTTTGGTTATGTGAAACGTATTCGAGATGAGAGTCTGCGGACGGGGGATTGGAGTTATACAACTCAGGGATGACGGTCAAATCACGCTGAAAACACCGGTTCTCGTTCGATCACCGAAGTTAAGCATCGTAGAGCCAGGTCAGTACTTAGATGGGGGACCGCTTGGTAACACCTGGTACTGTAAGCCCCCAAAGTCCAACTCTTACCTCACAGTCGGTGGGGGGGTGTAAACGGTAGTGTCAGAGCTATGCCGTCCGGAACTTCGTTCCTGGTAGGGCCACCCAAGGCGGACAGGTTTGACACACACGCCGGCTAACAAGGGCTCTGGTGGAAAATCCAAGGAGCGTCTGCATCGGCAACCGGCGGCTTCTGGTCGTTCCTGTCTCTGCGTCTGTGGGAATCCCGCGGCAAGCAAGAACGTTATCCGAGTAGGCCTGGGTACCCTACTTCTGTAATTTATCCCAAGAATCTTCTTCTCATAACAGGAAGAAGCCGGCTCAATCCGCCCAGGGTGAATGCCGCATCACACACACACACTCAGGGATTAGGATGCGTTGTAGTGTAAATGTGCATTTACAAAACGATTTTGTTTTACGCCTGGCAATGTCGCCCTTACGTCTCTAAAATTGGTGTGTGTTGAAGGGGGGGGGGGAGAAATAAATTTTACACAGAATAACTATGACAATGAAACGTTTCTAACCATAACTTTTGTTTCTGAATTCTGGGCGTTTCATTTCTCTCAGAGTGAATCCGCAAAACAATTCTTGGGTTAGTGTTTTAGATGTATCACCATCAGTCTTTTACGGAAAAGAAAAAGAAGAGAGAAAATTAGACAAAGTGAAGTGAAAGAGAATGTTTTAAAAAGAAAAGAAAAGAAAATTGTTAGTGTGCAGGAATTAACGAAAGCCTATCTAAGAGAATAATGGTATACACCTTTGAAAACACCAACCACATGACAAAACTCATCATCCGTATTCTGATGAAAAGAGCGGGCAGCAGAATCAGGTTAGAGATAGGACAATAACAGTGCGGGTTCGGTAAGGTCACCGGAACAAGTAACGCGATATTCATGCTCAGAATGTTATCAGAAAGAGCAATACTGATGCAGAAGGACGTGTACCTATGTTTCATAGACTACGCAAAGGCCTTCGACAAGGTACGCCACAAGGATCTGATGGAACTGCTCAGCAACCTTAATATATTCAGGAGGGATATCTGAATAATCAAGAACCTATAATGGCAGCAAACAGCATGCATATGCATGAGGAATGAGTTCAGTGAATATATATAAATAGAAAGGGGTGTAAGGCAAGGATGTGTCTTCTCACCTGACCTGTTCAACTTATACAGCGAGGCAATTCTGGGAGAATTGGAAACCCTACCAGGATTTAGCATTGGTGGTCACAACCTTAACAACATAAGATACGCAGATGACACAGTAATGATAGTAGACACGGAAATGAAATTACAAAATCTCGTACAGAAGGTATCGACGGAGAGTGAGAAGAAAGGACAAAGCATAAACTACAAGAAAACAGAATGCATGGTCCTCAGTAAGAGGATGAGCCCAAAATGCGATTTGCAGGTCGGGAACACTAGAATCAAGCAGACGTGGAAGTTTAAATATCCGGGAAGCGTCTTGAAAGAGGACAGTAAGTGTGACAATGAGATCCGTAGACGTATTGGGGTAGCCAAGGACACATTCCAAAAGCTGTGTAGAGTATTGTGAGACGGGAGGCTTTCTTTGGTAACAAAGAAAAGAATACTGAGCTGTTATGTGACATCTGTTCTTTACGGCAGCGAATGTTGGACGATTGCCTCAAAGATGAAGCAACGAGATGTGGTTCTACAGAAGGATGCTAAGGATATTATGGACCGAGCATGTGAGCAACGATTAGGTCTTAGAGAGGTTGCAAACAAGGAAAATACTTATACTTAACATCAGAAAGAGGCAGCTGAAGTTTCTGGGACACATAATGAGGAAAGAGGGTTTGGAGAATCTGGTACTCACGGCTCGAATAGAGGGAAAGAGAGACAAGGCAAAGCAGCATGTGACATATCTGACGAGCTTGAGGAGGTGGATGACAGAACGTGGTCAGTGGGAGGGAAAGAACCTGCTGAGAGCTGCAAGGGATAGAGGGAGGTGGAGAGCCATGATCGTCTACGTCCTGAAAGGACATGGCACATAAAAAGAAAAGTATAATGAAAAGAAATATTTTATGTATTATGCTATTTTATACGCAGCACCCCCAAAATATTAAAAGAGAATGCCAGCATTTAATTAACAAAAATAATATAGTTAAGGACATTTTTTTTGTCTACAGTTCCTGATAAAGACCAAGACGGACAAAAGTACTCAAACAAAGAGCAGAACAAAAACTTCAACCTTGGACAATTTGTCCACAAATTTGATCAGGATGTACAAAAACAAACAAACAAACAAACAAATAAATAAATAAATAATAATAATAATAAAAATAAAATTAACAGACTGCCTTATCTGAATATAATTATCTCCATAGGTTTTAATGATACGTGCTAACACCTTGGGAAAGGTATGAATCCTCTTCTTCACTCCCCAGCAATGAGTAAATAGCAGGACAGACCGGGTTCTATAGCCGTGGATGGCAACTGATCTACCGCAGAAAGAAATGGCAAACTACTGCGGGAAAAAATCTGCCTCATCAGTCATGTATCGAAGCATGTATCACGTATAGCACATAACTGTATTGCCAGTCATGGCAGTTAGAGATTTTTACATGCGTATGTAAATATCAACAAATTTATATATATATATATATATATGAGTGTATGTGTGTGTGTGTAAAAATTCAGATATAACTAAAAATATATCTGTCAAAAGTTAATATGAATAAAAACAAAAGGAAAACTTATCTTTGCCGACGCGTTTCGTCCTCCGATGGACTTTATCAAGGATATTTAATGTAAGAATTTTGTTTTGCAAAAGTATTTATACACAGATGCAGATCAAAAATACTTTTACAAACTTAGCGGGCGGGTTCCTCAAATCAAAACAAGGACAAATGTTCGAAAATCCTTCGTTTTTGAGTTAAGTTTAAAGAAATTTTGCGGTAGATTGTTGCCACGTAGACTAGGTTACATTTGTCATTCGCGTACATTTGTGGCTAGCCTGTCTTCAACTTTTAACATTTGTAGTAGTGAGTTAACTGAGAAGTGTTTCGTTTAACAATGGCAGAATATTCATATCGTGAGTAGGCAGATATGATTTTTTCATACGGTCGCGCGAATGGTAATGAACGCGAGGCTGTACAGCTGTATCGGATTGCGTTTCCAGACTGAATGTAGCCAAATCATCCAACCTTTGCTGCTGTTTATCGTCATTTGCTGGGACAGAATCCGTGGCACCACAAACTATGGATCGAGAAAGAGCGATATCAGCTCTTACACCTCACCACGAAGAATACATAAACAAAGCCTTTTGGGCATATGTTTATATCGATATTTTACCTTGTTTTGGCGTCTGTAACCCGCCCCATAAGTTTGTACAAGTATTTTTGCTATACCTATATATATATATATATATATATATATATATATATATATATATATATATATATTACTTATTATAAAACTCATATTTGTGTGTGTGTTTGTACGTTTATATATTGGATCGGATTTCCTACATTTTTCAACCGATTTCAACAAAACTTCACAGGACTACGTAAAATTACCTTGCGGTGGTTCTGACAGCTCCAGAAATTGGAAAAACACAATTGTTTTTGCACGAAATCAATTTGAAAACTCGATAAAACACGATTCTGTCGCCAGAATGAAAGGGTGACAACTCATATCGAATTATACTTATAAAACCCAGGTTGTTTGTGTGTGTGTGTTCATTTATATATGGGATCGGATTTCCTACATTTTTCAACCGATTTCAAAAAAAAGTCTTTCTTATTGTCTTGCACACTTTTTTCTTTATTTTTACATTCAGAATGCTTTAAAAATTCCATTTACAAGACAATTGTTTATAATAAAATTCTATTCAATCGGTAGACTCATAACGATTGAAAACAATGTTTTTGTTTGAGTTTGGGTTTGATCAATTCGTAAAAAAAAAAAAAGCTAATTAAGACATGCGTGTTCGTCAACCTTAAACAATAATCTTTGTCAATTTTATTTTTTAGTCTTTATGATGGTCGATACTTGATCTATCTCTTACTGTTACATCCCTGGGCAACGCCGGGCTCTACTGCTAGTATATATATATATATATATATATATATATATATATATATATATATATATATATATATATATATTGATCAGACCATTAAGAAATCATTCATGCGACACAACGAGGAGAAGAAAAAAGATATAGGTTTTAGATTTTTTCGAGCACGAATCGATCCTCTTACGATCTTACTGAATGCGTATTTTTATGTCATCTTCTCTCGAGGCGAGTTGATCATGGTTCTCCACAGATTCTACTTTTTTAATATACATGAATAATCATGACTCAATATGAAAGACAGTGAACTGGTTTACAGTTTCCTTCCCTACAAATCTGAATTTAATGTAGTCCTCCCCGAGTGGTTGCTATCCAAGGCCAGAGATACCAGACTACTCTGTTTTTTTTTTGTTTTTTTTTAATATATAGGTGGGGACAAGCGTAGGGACAAGATCTTCAAATCTCTGGCAATTCGGTCCGAGCAAGGCTTTAGATAATTTCTATAAAATTTTATAAAAAGAATCTTTCTTTCTTTCTTTTCTTTTTTTCACGCACTCATCTACGAAAACTATTGTTTTGTCAGGGAACATGTGGTGATAAAAGTAAGAGATCAAAGGAAGTAGGTGTAAATTTAGGTCAAATTAAAACAACAGTACTACTATACCGAAAAAGGAAGAGAAAGAAAAGTCTTAAGAAGTATTTACCATGGAAAGGTCAATAAAATCTGAGTATTTTTCTTAGCGCATGCGCGTGCGCGCACACACACATATGTATATTTAGGCAGCATATCTTCTTTCAAACATGCTTCTTTGAATAATATGCACATATTATGTCTATTTTTATAATAATCCTTTCTAGTTCTCTTATTATTTTCTTGATGTTAAGTTGAAATTCATCAAGTTGTTAACCCAAGTACTTTCGATCTTCTTCGAGCTCATCTTCTGGGGTCAATTACGAAGCCTTAATGTAACTGTAGTCGTTGAAGGCGTGATTTTTGCAAACACGCGGGAACGCGCTTGGTTATAATTATTTTAAAATTAACCTTGGTAGTTACGATGTTTTATAAACAAGCTTTCATAATGCAAGGGATTTAATGTTTTGCATTTTACTTCCCTTGCATTATGAGCATTTGTTTACAAAACATCGCAACCACCACGGTTAATTCTAAAATAATTATAACATAGTGTTTTCACGCGGGTTTACAAAAAACACCATCACACCGATTCCAGTTACAATAATTTTGCCCTCACAATGAAATGAAAAATAAGCAAAAGTAACAGGAAAATATATGAGTGTTTGCTGAAAATTTCTCGTTCCGTACAAGGAACCGATTCTACAAATTCTTATGTTTCGTTATTTGATAAGATTTTACGAAGTGGGTCGACCCAAGACATTTTCAGCACTCCACCATTTACACATTTGCGCGTGTAAACACACACACATTTATTTCTACTTTATAACCGAACGAACTTTTTGGCCAACGCAATATATCTTTTCAAATATCGAGTTTTCGCATGTAATGGTGTGTACTACGTTTTCCCTCATTAGTTTGTTATATGGTGTCATTTATTTTTACTTATGAATTATATTTAATATGTTCCAATATGTAATAAAGTTTTGATTATATATATATATATATATATATATATATATATATACACACACACACACATATATATATATATATATATATATATATATATATATATATATATATATATATATATATACACCCCCATATATATATATATATATATATATATATACACTCACACTATAGGGCAAAGGTTTGGGGATAATTAGTAAGTTTTACAAATCCTACTAAACTAAACCATGGCGTCCAATATCTGCGAACCCTGAGATTACCATTAACCAGCATGGTAGATTAGGCAAAAAAAGCACCAATTATAAGGAAATTTGAATGGTTAATAAAACCTTCCTAGAAGGGAATGTTCCACTGATTAGTAAATTAGTTTGGAAAACGGCTCGGAATCTTCAAATTTAAGGTAATTCTTTGAAATCCAGAGTGTGGTCCCAAACGTTTGACCTATAGTGTACAGTAGGTCAAATGATGGATAAATTGTCGTCTAAATTACGTAAAAATGAAAATAATACAGATATTTCATTTTAACAGATATATTTACCAAAATGACACAAAAATATCTTAAAATACTAAAGAGTAAATTTCTTCAATAAAATCGCCATTGGTTTCAACCACGGCCTCCAGACGACTTCGGAATCTCCTGCCTCTCTTCTGGACGGTCTCCTTGTTTAAGTTGGTGAATGCAGCCATAATCCTTGCCTTCAATTCATCTTTGGTGTTACAAGAAGTTTTGATGGTCTCTCGCTCAAATAATCAAGGAAGTTGCAGTCTGGGGAGTTAGGTGGTCAGATGTAAGGGGTGATGTAGTCACAGAAATTGTCTGACAGCTATGACTGTGTTCCTCGCTTGTGTGGCAGGGTGCAGAGTCCTGTTGCCAGACAGAGTATTTTCTTTTCCGAGCTGCCGTACATTCATGCAAGTCTTTCTGAATCCCTTGTACTGTCCTCAGATTGACACACAAACACTATCAAATATTTCTATTGCAGCTTCCGGTACGAATGCTATTTCTAAATTTCTGGTGGAGTGAATTGCGTGATGCTGCTCTTTTTCTCATAGAAGTTGCCCAACTGACCGTACTATAGTGTACAATCGACAAAATCAGAAACAAATAACGCACATGTGTGAAATTAAAAATATAACATAACGACAACTTACTCATCGCACCCTGTAAAAAAGATGGTTTATGTGAACAGAAACTTGTAAGGCAGAAACACAAGGAGAAAAAAAAAGAGAAAGAAAGAGGAAAGAAAGTAAAGAAGTAAAAGGAAAAAATGTAGCAAATTAGAGAAAATAATTATGAAAATAAAACTTATGGAGCGACCTAAAGAGAAGAAAGAAAAATGGCTAATGAAAAGAAGATAAAGATTGGAAAAGATATAATTAAATAAAGTAACAGAAAACAGATATAAAGAGAAGAGTAGAGATAGATAGATAGATAGATAGATAGAGAGAGAGAGAGAGAGAGAGAGAGGGGGGGGACAAAGAAATATGATTGCACCCAATCAACGGACTGTTAAGTCACCACGTGACCAACGGAACAGCTATATTTGCTTACCATTTAGTGGCATCAAAATGCGGCCCACAGTATCCGACGTGACATTTAAAATTTGGTGTCGAAGAGAGAAAAAGGAAGAAAAAGAACAAGAGCGAAAGTGGGATAGAAAGAGAGGGGAAAAAGGGGAACAGACAGACAGACAGACAGAAAAAGAAAGAATGAAAGAAATAGTGAGAGAATGAAGGAGGGGATAAAGAATAAAAGAAATCGGAAGTAGGATGCTTAGGAAAAAAAAAATCAACGACAAGAAAAAAAGACAAACTCGAAAAGGTTGCAGAGTTAGAATTGTGCAAGAAGATGAACTGTAGAAAGATGGAGTTATTTTGAAGAAAGGCTTGAACAATTTGTGAGACTTTTACTTCCGCTCAAACAAACAATATAATCAACCAACTAACAAACAAAAATTAACTTAGACCTAATATATCTTAAGTAACTCGCCAACCTTTCGTATCCATCAACAATCTTGAAGAAAAAAATCAGCATCCTCTACCGAGTGTTCCAAGAAATAGGACTCAAGAAAAATCTTTTCAAAACATAAACTATGATCTGCAACTGTATTGAAACCAATAATTGCAAATACCCTGAATTCATCATTAAAAAAATCAGGATTTAGTAAATACTGAACACTACAAATACCTCGATGCATAAATCAGTTTGTAGTAATAAAATAAGTACATCCCATCTCCCCTCTCGCTTGTAACTATCCACCACAATATAATTAAACGCTTTTTAGCGCTAAAGTTGAATTGGTCAAATAAAGCTTCTACTTAGAGTTGTGATTATATTACACAGTTATTACAAATTTAATTTTTTTTTATTACTTCAAAACGTTATTTTTAATGGATATTCGTAGACGCTCTGTTTATTTTAAACAGTATGTATTCCTGCGTACTCGAGGAAATTTAATAATGAAAATGTGCGCTCCGGAAGTTTGCTCGAGTACGCAGACTAGTAGACGAAATAAATTCTGTTTAAAATAAAAGGAGAATTTACTCAAATATTGGTATCTACTAAAAGTAATAAAAATATGACGGATTACGAAATATAACCCATTAATTCTTAAGAAACAAATTTAATATAGGAGATAAGTAAATTGAACATAGAATAGTGGCAGTTTCGCACAACACCGCAAATTGATACAAAACCAAAACATTAACCTCAAAACTCGATTCATGTTCTTAAATAGCTTCGTCAGATTGTGACTTTCATATGAAGATCATGGATGGCGCCAAAACCGTTCAGAAATATCTAAACTGTCAGCTGCATACGACCGTATTCACAAATGGTTAAAAATTACTTTGTATGAGTGGAGCCTGTAGGTCTTGGCGAAGACCGAACTTCTTTGAAACTTGTGGACTGGTGCTACAGAATCACAAACAGACAATGAGGTATGAGGTAACGGAAACCACATTATTTGAAGACTTTCAACAGCAGCAACGACTAAAATGGATAGTACATGTAAATCTAAGAGAAAAATATTCACATAACTAAGATGTTGACGTTCTACACTACTTCAAAGGAAAAGTGATGAAGGAGAACTTCATCAACATTGTAAAGGACGATAATAGCTACTAAACCCGAGAAACCTATTTTCCTGAAAAATTGTTTTAAGAAAAAGATTTTATAAATTTCAACCGACAGTATTAATGGCTGCTCGATTAATGAATACCGAATGTTTACTTATAAGGAAACGGTTAATCTTACCATTACTATTTTTACACTCAAACGAATCACTGAACAACATAGCTTCTAGTTAGCGTATGTTCCTGTTGTGCAGCCACCTTAACAACGTGAAACAGGCTATCTTTCAGCTCTACAGAATTCCTCTCCTTGGCTCTAGTGATGGCTGGCCCTTCTGGTCTAGTCTAAATCGAACCCGAACAACTGTTGGTCGTTGTAGAATCAACCTACTGAAATGCCGATATTTCATCGATGTCGATCCCGGCTGCCAGTGGGAGCAATCACAAAGGAACATCTTGTAGCTTCGCCCAATTTTGAAAATTCATGCGCACTTAATGATCTTGAAACCTCAACAACCCAGGTAAAACTCTGTGTGCAACACTAGATGGATATGGTGTAGCGAATTGATAATAAAAAAAAAAATCATTATCATTATATGTAAGTATACTTTTTTCTTCATGAGCACATTTATATATCTATATATATTTAGCAGAATACAGGGTGCGGTTGGAATACCTACCACATATACCTCCCAGAAATACCTATCACGTAATGGTAAGACTTTAGTGGCAGTATTAGCTAATCTCTTATCGTTATGTAGGGGATATTTCTGAGATATATAAAGGATTCTTTGATTCTAATGGCCAATAAAATCTTTTGTTTGCGTGAAATGCTTTCAAAAAAGCTTTTGTAGTGTTATGTGAATTGGGAGTCCGATATTTTTGTATGAAGTTATATCGATAGAATATACGGAAAATCACTACTTAATCGTATTCTAAAAAAATATTTTGAATCAAAATGAGATTCACAGCTAGAATAAAAGGTCTTTGGGCAAAGAATTGTCTCGTCAGTTTCTCCAGGATAAGCATCGGATTCATTGTCTGGGTCATCATCTAAAATTTGTTTTTAAATCTTATGAGATTTACTGCTAGAATAAGAAATCTTTGGGCAAAGAAATACTTCGTGAGATATCTCGTCAGTGACTCCAGGATAACCATTGCATTCATTGCTCACATCATCCTCTAAGAATTGTTTCGAACTATTCATTGCTAGAATAAGAAGTCTTTGGACAAATAAATGCTTCGCGAAGATACCTTGTCAGCCGCATTCACTGTTGACATCATTTCAAGAAATCTCATTTCATAAGAAATGTCTTGAACTCCTATGAGATTCATTTGCTAGAATAAGAAATCCCAGGATGACCAAATTCTTCGCGAGATATCTCGTCAGACGTTAAAAATTATTTTTCTTACAATATATCTCATGAGCCACTCCCTGCGATTTATATAATAATATAAAGTCTTCAATTTTCTGATTAATAGATTAAACTTTATTATTGGATACATTGTTATCTTATTCAGTTTATCTACATTTTTACACAGAATCTTGATTTCAAACATTTCTGTAGTTTGAACTTTTTCGGTTCCTTCATGTGTCAAGTCCTTTCAAGGACTTGCGCATCCACGGCTCTCCACAACTTCCTTTAAATAACTTGGAGTATGATTTCTCAAATGAGCCGTGAAAAGTGTGCCCTGGGGAATACGCGAGTGAAATTTAATGGATGCACGATCAAGTTTTTCTATGTTTTCGGCAATTTGCTCTGTTATATGATTAGAAATCCGCGAATAGATAGAAAGAAAAAAAACTACTTTATGTATTATCTCTTTGTTTATCAAATCACTTGGAATAATTTTCGAATTAATCCCAGATTTCTTGCAGACATTTGACAAGTTGAATTTGTAGAATTTTTCAATAAATGAATGAATAACCAAAGAAATCTCTCCCTTACCAGAATTTTCGTGTTCTATAGCAAAATAATACCCAACAGTATTTGAACAAATGTGGAAAGTCTTTTGATATTTGAATCCAATTATCATTGTGTACAAAGTTCTTGAACAACGTGTGCCATGTGTATAATACGAAATATTTTTGACGAAAAATTAAAGGCTAAAAAGAGGGATCGAATTATACACAAGTACAAGTTTTCATAAATTTTTACTCAGCTTAAAAAAAAAATCTCTTATTTGAAATAAAGAGATAGCAAATACACCCAGCACAATAAATAATAAAACACAAAGTAGGCAGGTGTTGATAACACTTGTTTATAAAAAGTATTTAATATGTCGGCAATATTATTTCTTTGGGAATTAACGTATTTGAACGTTTATTTTATCTCAAAGACAGGAGATTCGACGAAATGGATTAAAAATGATAATAAAGTAAATACTCAGGATCTGTCATGTTTCGACAGCATTAATGTTACCACAAAGGCCTAACTATTGTATAAATTACATACCTTTTTTGGGTTTTTCTGCTGTGAAGTGATGGTTTCTTATGCTCCGTTTGTTGACGTAAAATATCCATTTGAAAACTTCAAACGATTTGATAAAATAAAACAATACAAAATAGACACGTAAACAACTTCGATATAATTAAATCGCTATATAAATAGTGTACACTGGTATTTGTAATTTAAAATCTCAAAATATTATGATAATTTATGTAGATACATTAACATAATATGGATAACATGGTACAACTTTTCAAAAACATTACGTAGACATGGCTGTACTACGAGGTCGTATTATAATCAAGGGTGTCATTTATTTCATGTTTTTAGTTTCTGTTGTGGATTCCGTGAATGGAATCCTGCACAAAAAAATAAACAACGCCAGTAATTGAGATAGAAAAATAAGTATATTAAACGTAAGAATACAGACTTGAAGTGAAGATTAGTAGTCCAGGAATGCGGGTTAGTAGAAAGTATATGTACAAGTCTCTGTAAGTAAAGCCGTAATCATTTCTCCCTCTGGACTCTTGTATAACTCTCTGAGAACACCCTGTGTCTGTCTCCGTATCTCTCAATCTGTCTCAACGTATCTCCACGTATATCAACGTATCTTCATGTATCTCAACGTATCTCGGTATTTAATATCCCACCCACGAGGAATATATGTGGCACAAGGCCGAGTTTAAAGTGGGTTTCTCCGAGCCCGTAGGCTCGGCCAAAAATATCCCCTTTGAACCCGCCTAGACGGGTTCAGGGCCTGTCTATCTCGGAAGAAACTTTGCCCAAAGCAGAGAGTTCGACAGGCGTCGCTAACAGTCAAGGACTGTATCGAGACGGATCTCAACAGCAGGTATTCTCTCTGTCAGTATAAGTATACTTTGGACGAGTCCATCTTATGTAAAAAGGGGAGAGCCCCACAACAGTTTCAGAAACACTGCGTGGTATTATATTCAAGTTGTATTATAAACAAGAAATACGCTATGTTTTCTGCAAGACTGAAAAATGATTACCTATTCGTCTCCCTGAAACAGTTCCTGGTATTATTTTCCTTTTTGAAAAGAGACAAGTTCATCTGTCTCATTAAATGTGTGGCAATGTATTGAATAAGATTATAAGCAAATAATACTTGTCTGTTATCTATTCTATAGTACCCATACATGTTATACCATATTCTTATCCAAGTTTACGTCAAAACAGTTGGATAAGACGAAAGAGTACGATATGAGATAAATGCCAGAACTCTCTTTTGTCTTGAATTCAGTGCTTTAATCATTGACCTTTACATTGAAATCCTTTTTCTTCTACCGATTCTTTCACTCCATTTTCCACTCTTTCGCTATTGTGCTTGTCTTTTTATCACCTTGAAATACAATTTTTTTCTTTTTTTTCAAACTGGCTTTACGATACCTTTTACATTTTTCTTAGCACAATTTAGAGATCCTTGATAAAACCCAAAGAAGAATCTGCAATGTTATTGGCTCTAACCTGGCATCTCGACTTCAGTCACTTTCCCACCATTCTAATATATCTTCTCTATGCCTTTTCTATAAATAATTTCATAGTAAATGTTCTGATCAACTCACCTCTGTGTTACCTAGACTTTATGAGTTTAAGCGCAGAACTAGATTGGCGGAAAGGTCTCACCATTTTACTGTCGAAATGGCTACATGTAACCGTAGGTTCAACGTTAACAGTTTATTTTCTTTCATTTCTCACTTGGAGAACCCTCTTCCAACTTCTTGCTTTCAATTCAAGTTTGACTTGATCTTTAAAAAATTAAATGAAATGTCCATCTTTATCCCCTGTCCTCTTAAATTCTGTTTTTTCTTTATTGTCCTAACTTCTTAATAATGTTCTTTCTTATATTCTTTCACACTCAGTGACCCCCTGCGTATTAGTGGCTTTGTTGCCTTGCTTAGAGTGAAATGATAAAAAAAAATGATATACGTATTTGCCTCTCTAAACGGTTCGTTATTCTAAAAAAACAAAAATTGTTAATGCAATATTCACTGGCAAAAAAGAATTATTAGTATAATCCAAAATGTATTTCGGTTTTAAATAACCCACAAATGGTTGATAAGTCCTAAAAACAAATTAATAATGATGACATAACGACCATCATTCATCTTTTTTTTTATTTGATGTTTAAAATAGGTCTACCGAATTTCTTGTTTATAATACGGTTTGAGTAAAACCCCGAATTTATGAAGCTAAAAACAGGGAATAAATGACATCCTTGAATATAATACGACCTCTTAATACAGTCATCCCTGTGTAAATCTCTTTTTGAAAAGTTGTACCATATTATTCATTAAAATCTTAATATTATACAGATATTTCATTAAAATGTTTAATGTTTCACAATATTATAGAATAGAAATAAACCGGATGTTTCGCCGTTGCATGTTTCTTCTAATTTCCGTTTTAAAACTTATTTTCGAGGAAAGTTGCTCACTCGACATACCCGCTAATATATTTTAAGGTGTTAATTAATCTATCACACTTTTTTATTTGATATGATTTTATTATATTTCTATATATTAATAAACTATGAAAATAAAATATTGTCTTTCACTAAGAATGAAGAGACAACTTTATAAAAAACAAGAAAATCAAAATATAAGCAAACTTTATGTTGTGAGGGAAAAGATATTCACTTACGCTGATTCCCAAAGAACAAATATGGCCGACATATCAAATACCTTTTGTAAACTGTTGTTATCAACACTTGCCTATTTTGTGTTTTATTATCTATTGTGCTACAATCTTGCTGTTCAATAAGAGATATTTTAAGCTGAGTAAAAATTTTTGAAAATATGTACTCGTGTACAATACGACCCCTCTTTTTTGCCTTTAATTTTCGTTCAAGCTTTTCGTATTATGCACAAGACAATACGGTAATAGAACGGGGGTAGAATCCTGTGGGAACTCTCAGAAAGTATATGAATATAATAATAATATCCAGTATAAAATAATGAATATCTTTTGAGTCAATAACGAAGAAACTTGAATGTTACATATTGATTTAATTTTCTAAATCTCAAGTCTTCTCATTTACTGTCTTACTGATTTTTTTGTGAAAACAAATATCCCATAATTTAGTTCATTTATTTTCATTTGCAATCGGCCTAATGTTTTCCTATTTGCTGTTATTATCTCAACGTTTCAGCCGTTGTGTTCTTTTTCAGATGTTTGTCAACCTAGGTAACATTCAGAAAATTTCGGCCAGAACCCTATATTTAATCTGTGCAACATCAATCGCCATTTTCTGTTTTCTTGAACCCTGTCATTTTAGTGTCCTTTCTCCCCACTAAGATCTTCTCATTCTCTTCCACTCCCAGTAACCCCTTACGTCTTAATGGCATTATCGCCTTGCATGGGGTGAAGTGATAAAAAATGATTGTTCTTATTCAGCTGTCCATACGTAGGGATATTTCGTTTTGTGATTATTTAGGACTGTTCTGTTATTGCTCGCCCAGTCTCCGCTGAGTCTAAGTCTGTACTAAGGGATTGAACTCACAACCAAATTCACGAACCAGCTCTTTAATCCACTAAACTATTGTACTGTGGATTAAAAGAAGGGCTTAGTTCGAAATTCCTTGAAGATTATCTTGATCGACAGATACCGGAAGGTACCACGGTCGAGATCGTTGTGATAAGTACAAAGACAACGAGATTAGTACGAATGTAAATAATGCAAATAATGTTATCTCCTCATCCCAGAAATTCAGATTTTCTTTTATTGTCTCTCAGTAATTAAGTTTAAGCTTATTTTTTAAAGAACGATGATTATAAATTATGAAGAGAAATGTTGCTATTTGATTGTAAGTATATCTGGTAAACAAAAAAATGAAAATGAGGCTGAGTTTGAGCCTTCTTTAGGACGACAGGAATTGGCACCTCAAATCTAATTCAAAGTAGCTATGAATACTGGATTCGTGTTGGATAGGAATATAGATATTAAAACCAACCTTATAATGTAGTAGATATGGCCTAATAGAGTTAACTCCCCATGAATTTAAGACACACTTAGTTAACCTCTAGGCCCGATATGGTGGAGTCCTTTTATCTTTTTAAACATCGTTACACAGACATGGTAATCGTTCGGCCTTGAACAAACTCAGCGTTGAGGATCAAGCGAAATCAGCAGCCGTAAGCAGGTTATCCAAGAAAACAGCGGGTATGTAATTAATGGCGAGAGGCCGGCGACTCCGAAATGAATGTCGAATTGCCTATCAACCAATTGGTCGTATACAATCATGAATGTCCATTGTGCATGTACTTTATGGCTGAAGTAAGAAGACTTGTACGATTATTAAAGAGAAAAGCGACGAATAACCAGGAAGAGTCGGAAGTAGAGAGACGGTGATGAATGTCGTGTGGCGATGCGTTGGGAAAATTATAAAAGTGAAATAACGAATAATATCAGGTTGAAATAAAAATAAAATAAAACGTAATCTGAGTTGTAATGGGAACAATTCTGAAAAGAAGAGACAGTCCTAAATATAGGGAAGAACAAGAGAGAAAAAAAATCTCAGAAAATATGCGTAGAAAAAAAAATGAAATAAATTAATCAAATTTTGATGCGGAAAGAAGAGAAGAAAAAAAAGGCAAGAAATAAAGAGACGAGAAAGAAAGTGAGAGAAAATAAAAATCATGAAAGAAAGAGAAAAGTAAGCAGGAAAGAGAAAAAGAAATAGATAAGAAAGAGAGAAATGGAAGAGAAGGAAAGAAACTAGCCAGAAAGAAAGAGAAAAGAAAAAAAAGAGAAAAGAAAGAAATAGACAAGCAAGAGAAAAAGAAAGGGAAATACAAGAAGAAAGAGAAGAAAGAAAAAGAAATGGAAAAACGAAAGACCAAAATAAAAAAAAGGCAAAAAGAAAGAAAAGGAAAATAAAGAAACAGTAAAAACAAAAAAAAAACAAGAAAGAGAAAAGAAAGAAACAGATAAACAAGAAAGAAACAGAGAAAGAAAGAAATAGAAGAGCGATAAAGAAAGAGAAAATCAAAAAATAAAGAACCTGGCAAGAAAGAAAGTGAAAAGGAAAAAGACAGAAAGGAACAGGCAAGTAAGCAAGAAAATAAAAAAAAACAAACAAAATAGGAAAGAACGAAAGAAAGAAAAGCGGACAAGAAAGAAAAAAAGAAAGAGAGAGAGAGAGAGAGAGAGTGAGAGAGAGAGAGAGAGAGAGAGAGAGAGAGAGAGAGAGAGTGAGAGAGAGAGAGAGAGAGAGAGAAAACAGGGATAATGGTTAGATGTGAGTTCACTGGAAGTATTTAATTATTAAAAGGAAGCAAAAAAAATTAAATAAAGAGAAAATGAAAGAATAAAAGTGGAAACCGATCTTGAGAAAATTTTGAAAAAAAAAAGAAAAAGAAAAAAGAAGACGACGATGTTAGTTTGAAAGAATGCATAACAACTGTGAGAAAAACAGGGCGAGAAAGAAAGAAAGAAAGAAAGATAAAAAGAAAAAGAGAGTGAGAATAATAAAGAAAAAGAAAAAAAAGTTGAAGACATGAATAAAAAAAGAGAAAGACTATTTTTGAATGTTTCTTGCTAGCAAAAAAGGTCAAAAGTGGAAGTAATAATAAAGAAACAAAATAAAAGAACGGAGAAAGAAAAAGGATTGAAAAAGAAAGAAAAGATAAAGAAAGGAAGAAAATGAGAAAAAAGAAAGAAGAGAGAGAGAGAGAGAGAGAGAGAGAGAGAGAGACGACAAAGACTTCAAAAAGCAAAGAAAGCAAACATAGAAGAGAAACAATAAGATACAATTAAAATGAAAATAGAAGAAAATAGGTGCAAGAACAGTAAGAAGAATGAGAAAAAGAAATGATGTGTAAAGTAAGAAAAATGTATTAACAGAAATATAGAGACGAACAGGTTAGAATAAAGTAGAAATTAATCGCAAGAGGAAAAAAAAGGGGATAAGACATGTGGGAGAAGAAGGGGAGATAAACAAAAATTAATAGAAGAAAATAATTTAAAACAATAAAAAAATAAAACATGACCAAAATGGACAGAGAAGGTGAGAAATAATTCATAATAAAACAAAAAAATATGTTAGCGACAAAATATAATAAGAGGAATAGGCGGCCCAAACTCTGAAACATTCGTGAATAGAATGAAAAGGAAAAATAAGAAATAGCCTCAAATAAAAGGGGAAAAAGTGACAGGGATAAAATATTATGAAGTAATGAGAGAGAAAAAAAACATGTCGGAGATAGAGATAGTTACACAGACAGAAGATAGTCCGTCAAGAAAAAATAAAACCAAAACAAATTGACAAACACGGGAAAGATAAAGAAATATTGAAAAGAATGGCGAACAAGCAAGAAAAAAGATGGAACGACAAATTGAAGATGATTCATATGTAGTGATTAGGTGTTGTGGATAGCAGTTAATTGTCACTAGTGTCAGCTTGGCCATAATGGTTGCCAATGACGTCATCGCCTGCGTCGTTGTACGACCTGGAGCCGAGACTGACGGGAGTGGAATATGCAGACGATGGATGCAGAAGGAAGCGAAATAAAATTAAACAAACCAAATCAAAATTAATAAAACAAAAATAACTAAAAATGCATCAATCAACAAATAACGTTAACGACAATAACAATAATAAAGCAATAAAACCGAACAAGAACAAATAAAAATAAAAGTAAGACGATGGAGCTACTCAGAAGGATAGTACCATTACGACTAGATTTGCCCAACAACGATTTCTCGTCGAATTATGTGGCAAGAGGTTTAAGGTCTTCATTAATTTTTCGATCCGGCAATAAAAATGCAAACAAAACAAAATAAATAAATAATAGTGAAATGTAGAAATAAAAAAAAATAATAGAAATAACAAAGAAGAAACCATTAAAAGTAATAAAAAAGGTGAAAAATAATCGTGGAAAAGAAAACAAAGAAAAACATACGAAAGAAAAGAAAGAAAGAAAGAAAGAAAGAAAGAAAGAAAGAAAGAAAGAAAGAATAGGATTTAGAGAAGAAAAATAGAGAAGATAAAAGTGAGATAAGAAGGAAAGAAAGACAATAAAATAAGGTAAACGAAAAGAAAATAAGTGATGAGAATGAATAAAGAAAACACAAAATAATAAGAAATGAAAAGAAAAACAGAAGGAAAGAAATTAAAAAATTGAGGACAAAAGAAAAATGAATTCTGAGAAAGAAAGAAATGTAAATCGTAATAAATAAATAAATAAATAAATACGAATCCTAAAAAAGAAGGAAAGTAAATCCTAAGAAAGAAGAAAGGGAGAAAGAAAAAAAAGAAAAGGAAAAAGAGAGTAAAGGGGAAAAAGAAAGTCACGGAGTAAAAGAAAGAAGGAAAGAAATCCAGAGTAAGAAAGAATGAAAGAAAGAAAGATTAATCGTGAGAAAGAAGGTAAAAGCTGAAGAAAGAAATTTTAAGTAAAACAAAAACAAAAACGAAAGACAAAATAATTCGTAATTGAATGAAATAAATGTCAAAACAAATAACCAAAACTTAAGAAATATGCTGAAAAGATAGAAACAAAAAAATAGAAAAAAAATGACAAAAAAAAAAAAAATGACTGGGAATGTAAAACAAAATAAATCAGTGCAAACAGAAGAAAAACAGAAAAGGAAAAATAAAATTGAAAGGAATCTGAATAAGAAAACATGTAACTTAAAAAGAAATAATAATAAAAAAAAACGAGAGGTAGAAAAAGATTAATGGATGTAGTTCTATTAAGAAGAAGAAATGAAGAGAAACTGGGGAAAATATGAAAATCAAAGACAGGCAAGGAAAAAAAAAAGAAAGAAAGAGAGGAAATCTAAAAAGAAATGGTGAGTTATGGATACATGGCAAAAAGAGGACGAGGAAGAGAAGATGAAGAACAAACCAAAAAATAAAATAAGAAAGCGAGAAAGAAAGAAAGAAAGAAAGAAAGAAAGAAAGAAAGAAAGAAAAAGGTGTAATAGTAGAGGAGCATAGATTAGCAAGCTGAGAAAAGGTAAAAAATGAATGACAAAAGAGAGAACGCATGGAAAGCAAAGAGAGGTCATTAAAGCAAGCAAGCAAGAAAAAAAAAAAGATAAAAATTCAATGGAGAGTTATGGATACATGACAAGAAGAGAAGGAGGAAGAAGAGAAAATGAATGGCGAAATGAGAAAGAATGAAAAATACCATTAAAAAGAAAGAAAGAAGCAAGTAATGGATTAGGGACCACAAGAAGAAGAAGAAGAATGATAGAAAAGATAGTCTATTAGAAAGCATGAAAGAAGGAAAGAAAGACGTAAAGAATGAAGAAAAAAAATCACCCGAAGAACATAAAACCATTGAAGAGATATCACGGAGAATTCTACTATTTTGATGACAATCAAACAAAAACTATTTAAAATAACAATAAAGACAATAGTCGATGGTGTAAACGCAAAAAAAAAAAAAAAAAATCATTCATGTGACAAATACAACTAACACTCCGACATTTACAATATCTGTCTCTTGCTGAAAACTGAATAAAGAAAACATTATCTCCAAATAATAATAATAATAATAATAATAATAATAATAATAGCATCATCATCAACAGCAGCAACGACAAGGACAAGAACAATAAGAATAGCCTAACAGAAACGCCTCATAGCACCTAGCGGGGCGAAATGATGCTGTCTTGTTTTCTAGACACGTACCAAACGAGATGAAATTTAATTTCAATGCAAATAAATCAGTTTGTCGAACGGTATGAAGTGAGGCAGCTGACCGACGAGTGTAGCGGGTGTCAGCTCTTGTTTGGGCTGATCCAGCCTCTTTTCTCTCCATTACCCGAACGAAAACCCGTCACCTTCTGCCTATCCCTGCCATAAAAATTTCCATTTTCTCCCGGCACTACCTAGGCGCTCGCATTTCTCACCTACAGACGGGACAGTCGAAAAGTATTTGACTTGAAAGGTTCCACAGAGATATATCTTTATAGACGAGATCTTGCTAACTATCGCTCTACGGCAGGTGCACAACAAACAGCGATTTTAATTATTGTATTTGGAAAAGATTCAGTGGCCCTAGTCGTTGACAGTGCAGTAATATTCCAACTGTCCCAAGAGCTTCAATTCCTTGCTGAATAGACGCATTCTATCTTAAGTTTTTACTTTTTATGAGTGTGCATGAAATTATATACACGTTTAACTCTGACTGTCCTCCATGTTTAAAAATCCAATTCGGATTAGCCGTTCGGTCGGATTATAAGTTGTTGTAAATAATGGAGGTAATGAGAGGAGAGTGTAGGTAACAAGTCAACACACTTATAAACCTACAATGTTTCCTTTTAAGTTATTGTTGTTGTTGTTGTTCCTGTTCTTGTCGTTGTTGTTGTTGTTGTTCTTCTTCTTCTTCTTCTTCTTATTATTCTTCTATGTGACGTATCGCTTCACGACGTGGGCGATTATGTTTCCCTGCAACTTTCTACCTATTGTAACTCTTAGTATAGCCTGTCTCTACACCATTCCTCCAATTCCCTGTTTTACCATCCATTTACTTGATAGGTAGGTTACTACGCGTTGTTTCCGCCCCACGTCCTTCTTGCCTTCGGTATGGCTTGTGAGTTTGAAATTCTCTAGGCCTTCTTTCCTTATTATCTGTCCATGAAATTTCAACAGTCTCTTTCTGATTCTAAGTGTCTTTTTTTTCTTCCATTTTTCTTAAACATTCGTCGTTACTCACATGTTCAGTCCACAGATATTCTTAGCATTTTTCTGATAGAATCACATTTCGGTTGCGCCAAGTCTGTTCCTAATTGTTCCTGATTGTCCAGAATTCACTGCCATATATGACGACTGATATTACGTAGCACTTCAGCACTCTTTTCTTTGTTTCTAACGTTATTTTCCTGTTTCTTAATATTTTGTTTAGTTTTAGGAAGGCATCTTTCGCTATTCCAATGTGCCTTCGGATTTTTTATGTCAAATGTTCCCTTTTCTGTTAAAACACTTCCCAGAAATTTAATTTTTTTAAAATCAAGTTCACCTCATGTAAGGCATTAAAGCCACTAAGACACAAAGGTTTACTGGGCGTGGAAGAATTAGAAAACAAAAACATTACTAAGGGCCAAGAACAGAAGGGTATTCAGGAGGCCGGCAGATAGCGATTGACATTGTATTTAAATTTTCGTTGGAAAACATGGAGCCGGGAAGGTTTTTCACAATCGAGAGGTGTCAGAGAAGAAACTATAGATTGATAAACAAGAACAGATTGTAATTCTGAATAAATACATTCAATCGAATTTTTCTTAGATTCAAAGAATCTTGGACATATATAGATCGGACTAAAAGATTTTTACCTGCAATATATTAATTACCATAAACGACACCAACTGTATACAAAAAATCGGTAGGAAATAAGAATTAAAAAAAAAAAGACTGGATTTTTACTGGTAATTCCTTATAAATAAATAAATATTCGGCATTCACTGACTGTCGGTTGAAATTTATAAAATCTTTTTATTAAAATAATTGTAGGTTTGGTTTGGTTTGGTTTGATTTGGTTTGCTTTACGGCATATCAACCTCAATGACCGATAATTTTTATTTCTGGTAATATTTTTTTCAAAAATGTAGAGCTGGTAATATCTTTTGTTTTCAAAAATGTATTGCTGGTGATAATATTTTACAAAGTATTTCTGGTATTAAAACCTATTTTTACATTTTCATCGTGTTTTTACCCCAGTTTGGAGGCTAACTATTTGCCCATAGCTGGGACCCTAACAGGTACTACCACCCCGGGTCAGGGTAGACCTGGGAACAGCAGCAATTAAGAGGTGGATTCCACGCTCCTCAAAACCTCCTGATCAGAGGCCTTACTGCCGGATTTAGTTTATCGTCTTACCCAGGACGCTTAATTGTAGAAGCAGGAGAACCAATGAGTAACCTATTTAATGAGTGTGTGAGGTCAGAAACAAAGATGGGATAGCAAAAGTTGCTTAGAGCAACAAAAGACAGGAAGTTGTGGAGAGCCTGGTAGTATTTGTCCTGCAATCCATTCGCACAAACTCATTAAATAGGTTAATAATTATCTCCCCCTGCTTCTTTTGTTTTCAATATGCTTTGTGAGTGTTAAATTCTCCCGACCCTCTTTCCTCATTATGCGTTTTAGAAATTTTAACTGTTTCTTTTTTTATTGAAAGTTTCCCTGGAGTTCTGATATATCCTAAAACTTCTGTCGATATAACTATATCTCTGCTACTTCAAGTTCCTTCTTCATGTCTGAAGAGATTATCCATTATTCACTACTATATCAGAGAATAGATATTACATATGTCAGCACGTTTTTCTTTGTCTCTAACAACATTCATCAGTAAAACTACATCTTTATCGCTTCAAGTCTCTTCTTCATATGTGTATTGAATATCCCAATTTGGCTGTCATATAGGAGATTAGATATTACATAGCAGGCCAGCCCTGTTTTCTTTGCTTCTGACGATATTTTC